CACGAGATCCATAGCTATGCCAGGGTTAAAGAAGTGCTCCTGGCTCGTTATGCAGTAACCCCAGAGTCCTACCGACAGAAGTTCAGGGACTCACGCAAAACCACGAAAGACTCTTACGTGGAATGGGCATGCCAGTTATCCCTGTCGGCCTCTAACTGGGTTAACAGCAGCCAGGCCACCACCGCAGAGGACATTCTGCAACTAATGCTCCTGGAGCAATTTTACAATCACATCCAGACGGATGTCAAAGACTGGGTGAGAGATCGCAGGCCCATGACTCTACCAGTGGCCGCTAAGTTGGCGGATGAATATGCGGATACTCGCAAGACGAACCAGGCCACACCACGGGTACAAGCTCCACGACCAACGGTGCCCTCACACCCACCAGCCGCTAGATACCAACCTCCTAACAGACCGGTGACATCTAGCCCTCGCTATCCACGCCAGGAGGACAATGAACAACGCTGCTTGGCCTCGACCTGGGTACCGCCCACCAGCAGCAGCCCATTGTATAGACTCGGCTTGGGATCCCCAGGAGCTGGGTCAGGAAGAACCACTGGGCACCCTTTACGAAGCCCTCATGGTACAATCTGTTATTACGGACAATAGGAAACACCATTGTCAGCTGGTCATGGTTAACGGAAAAACCGCCCGGGGATTAAGAGACAGTGGGGCAACCATCACGTTGGTACAAAGACACCTTATTAATGCATCAGAGAAACCGGGGAAATCAATTGCTGTGAGAGTGGCAGGGGGGCAGTATACCGTATTCCTACTGCACAGGTACACCTGGACTGGGGTGCGGGAGCTGGCAATGTTCATGTGGGCGTCATGAAAGACTTACCATCTGAAGTCATCTTGGGCAACGACATTGGCCCCCTGACTTCGGCGTTCACCTCTACCACCGCTCAGGAGGCCCACGCAGTAACCACCAGAGCACAAAGTCGCGCTGCCGAGAGCCATCCGCTTCCTACTGAGACCCAGGTAAGCCAACCCAACCTACCCTTGACTGTAGAACCCCTACCCTGGGACACCCCAGAGGACTTTGGGCGGGAGGTGACCGGAGACCCTTCCCTCAGAAAGTATCGAGAGAAAGCCAGGAGGGGCCAAGGGGGGTTAGAGAAGGAGCAATTTATCTGGGAGAAAGGCCGCTTGTACAGGCTCACTGAGACCCGGGGTAATACACCAGGGCCTAAGCAAAAACGCCAGCTGGTAGTTCCCCGGAAGTACCGGCAGGAGTTATTGAGGATTGGGCATGATGTACCCTTGGCAGGCCATTTGGGAATACGCAAGACGGGGTATCGGATAACCCAGAACTTTTTCTGGCCTGGGGTATCCGATGACGTCAGGGCGTATTGTCAAACGTGCGAGGTATGCCAACGTATAGGTAAAAAGGGAGACCACCCAAAGGCTAAACTAGTTTCCATGCCCATTATTGAAGAACCGTTCACAAGGGTAGCCGTGGACATTATAGGGCCCCTGGCCCAACCTAGCCGTTCCGGCAAGCGTTATATACTCACCGTAGTAGACTACGCCACCCGTTACCCCGAAGCGGTAGCTCTCTCTAACATACAGGCTGAGACCGTAGCAGAGGCCCTAGTTAAAATATTTTCCCAAGTAGGCTTTCCCAAGGAGGTTCTGTCCGACCAAGGTACACAATTCACGGCCGAGATAACCCAGCAGATATGGAAAACCTGTGGAGTTAAATCCCTGACTAGCTCCCCATACCACCCCCAGACTAACGGCCTGTGCGAGCGCTTCAACGGAACGCTAAAGCAAATGTTGAAGTCGTTCACGGGGGCGTACAAGGATTGGGAGCGATTCCTGCCACACCTTCTCTTTGCCTACCGAGAGGTGCCGCAGGAAACGACCGGATTCTCACCCTTCGAACTTCTCTATGGGAGGCGGGTGAGGGGGCCCTTAGACTCTCATCAAGGATCACTGGGAAGGGCAAACAGAAATTGAGGGGACCCCGGTTGTACCTTATGTCCTGGAGCTGAGGGACCGCATGGAGGAATTAGCCCAAACAGTGCGAGAGAACCTCCTGGCGGCCCAACAGCGCCAGAAGGAATGGTATGACCGACGGGCTAGGTACCGGAGCTTCCAGATAGGCCAAAAGGTCATGGTATTAAGGCCAGTCTGAACAGACAAGCTCCAGGCCGCCTGGCAGGGCCCCTATAAAGTTATAGGACAGATATGCGACACTACCTACACGATAGCCAGCTGCGAGGATGAAGATGTGAAACGAACCTTTCACATCAACATGCTCAAGGCCTATCAGGAACGGGCAGAGGAGGTAGCCGCCATCTGTGCACCAGCAGAGGAAGACACAGAGACCCTACCCCTTCCCGACCTATTGGGCAGTAACGAAGGGATGACCCAGATAGAGAAAGTCCAGCTAGGTGAACAGAGCCGCTAGAAACGAAACAGGCCACATTCTCTCAGGAGCCGGGGTACACACTCCTAGCCATACACAAGGTGGAGACTCCAGGACAGGCACCCCTGAGACAGCCTCCTTACCGTATCCCAGAAGCAGTCCGGGTAGGGATGCGGAAGGAAATAGATGAGATGCTTCGGCTAGGCGTAATCGAACCCTCAGAAAGTCCTTGGGCCTCGCCGGTAGTCTTAGTGCCAAAGAAGGATGGGACAACCCGCTTCTGTGTAGATTACCGGCGCCTCAACGACAAGACGGTTACGGACGCCTATCCGATGCCACGGATGGACGAGCTGCTTGACCGTATCTCTGCAGGGAAGTATCTGACCACAATAGACCTATGCAAGGGATATTGGCAGATTCCCCTAGCAGAAGATGCCATACCCAAGTCGGCCTTCATCACCCCGTTCGGCCTATACCAATTCCGGGTTATGCCGTTCGGGATGAAGAACGCCCCGGCCACCTTCCAACGGATGGTGGATCAGTTACTTGGGGGTCTCCAGAGATTCGCATGCGCTTACCTGGATGACAACGCCATCCACAGCGATACATGGGAAGCGCACCTAAAGCACGTAGGGGTAGTATTAGATAGGATCAGGGGGGCTGGGCTGACCCTGAAACCCGACAAATGTCATTTGGGTATGGCGGAGGTACAATATTTGGGCCACCGAGTAGGATGTGGTAAGCAACGGCCGGAGCCGGCTAAGATCGAGGCCGTTGCCAATTGGTCCACTCCCCACACCAAGACACAAGTCATGGCTTTCTTGGGCACAGCCGGCTATTACAGACGCTTTGTACCCGACTATAGCGCCCTGGCCAAACCCCTGACCGACTTGACCAAAAAGAAGCTACCCCGACAAGTCCTGTGGTCCCCGGAATGCGAGGTGGCTTTCCAAGCACTAAAGACTGCTCTGGTTAAGGCTCCGGTGTTGGTTACCCCAAATCCTAACAAAAGATTTATTGTCCACACAGACGCTTCAATGTTTGGACTGGGGGCAGTACTAAGCCAGATCGGAGAGGATGGAGGGGAGCACCTGGTGGCATACCCGAGTCGGAAGCTGTTGCCAAGGGAGGTCAGTTATGCCACCATTGAAAAAGAGTGTTTGGCCTTGGTATGGGCACTCAAAAAGCTCACACCTTACCTTTATGGCCGGGCTTTCACTCTCATCACCGATCACAATCCCTTGGTGTGGCTTAACCGGGTTTCAGGGGACAACGCCCGTTTGCTACGCTGGAGCTTGGCCTTACAGCCCTATGACTTTACGATTCATTATCGCCCAGGCAAGCAAAACGGGAATGCCGATGGATTGTCACGCCAAACGGATTTAACCTCGGACTAACAGCTCTGAACCCGTCAACCCTACTGGACCAGGAAAGGTTCAACCGAGTTGCCGGAGCAGGGAGAAAAAGGGGGTCCATTGTGAAGGACTTTTATGCAATTGCCTATATGCTTCAGTTTAATTCTCTCCCTGCTATTGTCTATATTGTTCGGTTCCAAATGTTGAGAATGAATGTATTCGTATACCGAACGGGGACCACACACCCTGGGTAGCAAGTAGCAATTAGAACACAGAGAAAACCACAACTTAATTGCTACTGGGTGGCCACCATTTCCTGTATCAGAAGCACATGGTGAGAACAATGGATGGCGGACATTTTAACTCACAGACACTGTTTGGATGTTTCAACACGGTGCCATCTCGCCAGTATTTGGTGCACAGAGACATCATGCAGTGGTTTTGGACTATACAGCAGGGGACACATTATACAGTGATTGTTTTTCATTTAGCCTGTATATGTTCTGCAGAATCTGCATTAAACTGTATTTTCCAAAGTACTGAACGGATCTGGGTGAATTTTGGATATGTGGTTCAACCAGATCCCCCGGTTCCAAGGATATTTTTTTATGGGGTTATTGCATATTTTGGGGTCCCTGTGTGGTTTATGAAACTGTATTATTTCTGGCCAGCAGATAATTGAGCTTTGTGTATTGTAGAAACTCAATTATCTAGCCTGGCCCAGAGGAGGAGTTTTGTGTTGCATAAATTGTGAGTTCTGTGTGCCAGTAAATCAGTCTTGTTCCAGCATTAAGCTTTGGCTCATGTGTGGATTATTCGGCGATTCCAGGGATATTTCTGCTTATGGAATATTGAGTGCTTTTCTTTTATGGGAAGAAGGGAATGCTTGACGGGGATATTTTCTACTACCGTCACAGTTACTGTTAGGTTTTACTGCAATAAAATGCACATATTTGTAGTCAGCAATGTCTCACCAGTACAACATTACCCCCCATTAACAGGTTTTATGGTGTTTTGGAAAGTTACAGGGTCAAATATAGAACGTTCCATTTTCAAATTGAAATTTGGCAGATTAGTAATGTTACCTTTGAGACGGTGTGGTAACCCAGAAATGAGAATTACCCCCATGATGGCATACCATTTAAAAAAGTAGACAACCCAAGGTATTGAAAGTGGGTATGTTTAGTTTTTTAGTAGCCACTTAGTCACAAACACTGGCCAAAGTTAGCGTTCATATTTGTTTTTGTGTGAAAAAAGCAAAAAACTAATATTTGGCCAGTGTGGCTACTAAGAAAGACTGGACATACCCTACTTGCAATACCTTGGATTATCTACTTTTGCAAATGGTATGCCATCATAGGGGTAATTCTCATTCCTGGGCTACCATACGCAACAAATTTCAATGTCAAAAAAATGAAATGCAAGCCTTATATGTGACTCTCTAACTTTCCAAAAAAACATAAAACCTGTACATGGGTGGTACTGTTATTCCCGGGAGACTTCATTAAACACAAATATTAGTGTTTTAAAATAGTAAAACATATTACAACAATAATATAGTCCATAAAAGTGCCATTCGTTTGTAAAAAATGCAAAAAACTTCACCTTTACTTAAAATATCATCATTGTAATACAATTTACCAGTTTGAAACACTAATATTTGAGTTCAGCGAAGTCTTCCGAGTAAAACAGTACCCCCTATGTACAGGTTTTATGGTGTCTTGGAGAGTTACAGGGTCAAATATAGTGCTTGCGAATTAAATTCTCTGCAGTTTCTCCCTGTGTTGTCAGGCATGTCAATCAAATTTTAATTAATCAAATCACATAATTATGTTAAAAGATTACTTAAATATACATGTAGAATTTGAATATATATGCATTTATAGGTATTTAAATTCTACGTGTATACTAATGTAATCTTTTATGTAATTATATGTATTTATCTATATATATATTTGGGGTTATTTTTATTTTATATATAGATAGATATATATAGAATGTCATTCTAAGTGTATTTTGTTACCTATATATATATTAATAACAAAATACAGTTAGAATGAAATTACATATGAATATATAATTTATATTAAATTTTGTTTCAATATTTTATTTATTTATTTTATTATTTTATTTATTTATTATTTTAATTATACGAATATATATAATATATGTGTATATATCTATCATATATATATAATATATATATTGTATATATGTAACGTCATTCTAAGTGTCTTTTAATACTAATATATGTACTTATATTAATATTAAAATACACTTTATAATTTAATTTTACACATGTCTAATCATTTTTTTAATACTTCCCACCAGCAGGGGGACTGTCTGACATTTCAGACAGTCCCCCTGCTGGCAGATCCACAGCCAGCTATAGGGGGCCATGTGATCGCTCTTTGAGAGCGATCACATGGCCCCAGGGGGCCTCATTTGCAGGGGGAGGGCTGCCTGGGCAGTCAGGCAACCCTCCAGAAGAGGATCGCGGCGGAGGTAATTAAATTGGAGCTGCCAGGACTGAAAGCCGTTATGGCATTCTATGCCGCCGCAACAGCTTTAAAGCCCTTTTAATGCGGGACAGCATAGAACGCCGTAACGTTGTGTACTTTCGTCATTAAGCTGCGTCCGGTGCCTCCATTCCTTCGACCAACAACGTCACAACGTCATTCCGCAATGACGTCATTATGCGAATGTCGATTTCAGAGCTGTAATCCTCTCGCTCTAAACTCTTAACTCCTAGAGCAGTCTGGAGCCATTTTTTTGGAGTCCATTTTGGACATAACAAACGAGCTTCTTTACTCCTAAAGCAGTCCAGCACCATATTATTGGAGTTCATTAATTACATAGCTAGCTACAGTTTATAAACACATAATAACTACACTATTAAAACCAATTAGTTGAAACAATATATATTAAAACATAGTCAACACAGGTAATAAAAGATGTAATATCATGTTGTATATCGTTAGTAAATGAGGTGAATTTTTTGACAGTTTTGTTTGTATTTTTCCTTAAAGGACCACTCTAGGCACCCAGACCACTTCAGCTTAATGAAGTGGTCTGGGTGCCTGGTCCAGCTAGGGTTAACCCATTTTTAAATAAACATAGCAGTTTCAGAGAAACTGCTATGTTTACTAATGGGTTAAGCCTTCCCCCTATTCCCTCTAGTGGCTGTCTCATTGACAGCCACTAGAGGCGCTTGCGTGCTTCTCACTGTGATTTTCACAGTGAGAGCACGCCAGCGTCCATAGGAAAGCATTGTAAATGCTTTCCTATGAGACCGGCTGAATGCGCGCGCAGCTCTTGCCGCGCGTGCGCATTCAGCCGGCGGGGCATAACGGAGGAGGAGAGGAGGCAGAGAGCTCTCCGCCCAGCGCTGGAAAAAGGTAAGTTTAAACCCCTTTCCCCCTTCCAGAGCTGGGCGGGAGGGGGTCCCTGAGGGTTCGGGCACCCTCAGGGCACTATAGTGCCAGGAAAACGAGTATGTTTTCCTGGCACTATAGTGGTCCTTTAATGCACAACCTCTACAGTTATTACAATAATAAAACCATTTTGCCACCTTGATACTTCTTTCTCTAAAAGACTATGGGTTAAAATCTGGCTACTGGAAGTGTTAAAATTAATTGGAAAGGAGGATATATTAATAAGCCTCCTCAGCAAATCAGTGATAAGGTGGATTTTTAATATTGAAACTTTACTACCTCACGGCTTAAATGCCGATTTTGAAATAAACTCTTTTATATGAAGAGTGTTTTTTATTAACTATACTACACTGACACACACTAACACACATACAGATACACAGACACACACACTGACACACATGCAGATACACAGACATACAGAATGATACAAATTTAGATACGCACACTGACACACATACAGACAAACATGTACACGCACAGATACACATACAAACACACAGATACACATACAGACAAATACACACAGATAAACATACAGACAAACATACGCGCATACAGACACACAGTTACACACGTACAAACAGATACAGAGACACATATAGGCATACGGACACACAGATACACATACAGACACACATATGCATACAGACACACAGATACACATACAGACACAGATACACATCCAGACATACAGACACACAGATAGGGATACAGATACACAGATACACATACGGACACACAGAAAGACATACAGATACACAAATGGACACACAAACACGGACACACAGATACACATACATACAGACACACATACAAATAGATACACAGACACACAAAAACAGATACACATACAAACACACATACAAACAGATATACAGACACACAAAAACAGATAGACACAGACACACATACAAACAGATACAGACACATACAAACAGACACACATACACATAAAAAACATGCAAAATTTAAATTTTAGAGTCACCCTCTAGTGTCCTACCTTTTAGGTGCAGTAGGGTGACTCCCCTGATGTCCAGTGGCTGCCTCAGGCTGGTGAGTGTGAGCTCTGACTCCCTCCTCTCCTTCCGCGCGGCACTCAGTGAATGCTGGGCAGTGACCTCCTCCCAGCATTGTGACATCATTGTAGGGGGCCCGGTCGCGCTTTTAAAGTGCCACAGTGCTGACCGGGCCTCCGAAAATACATTGCCATCGGGTGGCCCTTAGATCATGGGCCACCCAATAGGCCCCCTCATTGTGTGGCCCGCAGTGGTAGTTCCACACGGGGCAGCTGCCCCTTTTGCCCCACGTTAAAGACCGCCCTGGTTATTAATTATGCCGGTACTAACTATGAACCTTACATTTAGTAGAAAAAACAAGACAACTGAAATGTCTTTAGGACCTCTGTTCAGGTTACAGAATGAATACTTGGGGTCACAAATAATACGAAGCTCAAATGGAACTATGACAAAATAAGATAAATCAATGGTTTTTAACCCCTGGCTTACGTCCCCAAATTGGGGATTCATCCCATTACAAGGTGCCAGCAGTGGTTGGTTCTGGTGCATTATAATTATCTGAGCACAGGCGCTTTCTGTATCGGCACTGAAACCCGCAGTAAAATAAACATTTCTCTTATACTGGGAAGAGCTTAATTAAGGTGTTTTTCAAATTCTGGTATGACGCTAATTATATTAAAACTGAAGAATGAGTCACTAAGATAATTTTCTAATTAAGAATGGATCACCAAGCTGCATGTACGTAATTTGGGTCCCTGAAAAAAAAACAAAAAAAAAAACGTAAGAACCACTTAGATATGCAGTTCACATCAGTTAACTTTAACTTTAAGTGTCAACTGGATGAACAAATAAACAACCCCTTTGGCACTGATACAGTGAGAGCTAGGTTTAGATAATATTAGTACATAGCAGCTAGTTACGGTCAACTCTGCTAAGTCCATTAAAAAACCAAGTGCAAGAATTGATTGGCTGTTGTTAAAACCTGCATTCCTCATACTGAGTTATGGACTCTTCAGAATTGGGATCAAATTGCTTGTTACTCTAAAGGTATGTGACAGACATAGGCAACCTTCAGCACTCCAGATGTCGTGGACTACACCTCCCATAATGCTTTGCCAGCATTATGAATGTAAGAGCATTATGTGGGATGTAGTCCACAACATCTGGAGTGCCGAAGGTTGCCTATCCATGTCCTAAGACATAGAGGAATACTCTAACGATCAAAACCACTATTACTCTTAAAGGGACACTATAGGCATTGAAGTGGTCTGGGTGCAGTGTCCCAGTCCCTTTAACTCTGCAATGCAAAACATTGCAATTTTAGGGAAATGGTTAAGACAGCCACTAGAGGCACTTCCTGCAGTTTCACAGAGATTAAATCTGTAAAATGACACTAGACTTCCTCACGCTTTGCAAATCCCCATAGAAATGCATTGATTCAATGCTTTCCTATGGAGAAGGCCTAACGTGCACTCAGCACTTGCAACGCATTAGGTTCCTCCTCACACTGACTTTGGAAGTGACAGAGCTAGCATTGAGGAAACCCGACCCTGGAATCAAGTGTTTTATTGCTGCAGGTGCAGAGTGACACTGTAGTGTTAGGAATAAAGCTTTGTATTCTTAATACTATAGTGTTCCTTTAATGTCCACAGACCCCATCCTGCAGTCTGTGAATTGTATATAGTGCTCTTTCTGAGAAACAGTCAGAATGAAGTATCAGTCATTCCATTCCTGTATCCCCCTATAGAGGGTGAGATACGCTCCATAGAGGAATAATCACAGCAGTTACCCCGCTGAGCACAAGCTGTGTGTAACATGACAGGAACACTATGCTAGAATAGAAGAATAGAAACCTGCATTCCTAACGTTAGTGTCTAGGTTGCAGATTAGGTTTAGGACCCCCCTCCCCCCCCATTTTCAAGAAAAAAGGTTTTCCCTTGCCTGTTTCCCAGCACTGAGATTAGCTCAGCAATGCCGCCGGAGCCTCCTCCCCGACTTCATTCTGCTTTCTGTGATGAGAATGCGCCTCATAGAGAAACAATGAAGGTGGATGCGCATGTGCGACAAAAAATGAACATCCAAACGTTTCCAATGGAAAACATTGAATTCAATGATTTCCTATGAGCTGCAACCACATGTGACCAGGTTTTATGTAGTCAGTGCAGCGGAGGTGCCTCTGTGGCTATCTGGAAAACAGCTACTAGAGGTGTGTTTAACCCTGCAATGTAAACAGGACGTTTTCTAAAAAAAGTGCAATATTTTATATTGCAGGTTTAAAACCCCAAGGTCATTGCACCCAGACCACTTCATTGAGATAAAGTGGTCTGGGTGAATTTAGTAATTCTTTAAAGGGACACTCCACGTCCCAAATACACACAAACAAATCACTGCTTGGTAGACATACAGTACCTCAAATAAGAATATGCATGCATTGAATTATTTTTATTAATTGATAATAGGTATAGGTATGTTTAAAACAGCTTGCAAAAGCTGTGGATCTTTTGTCCGCGTCTTTGGATGCCCTCCCCTTCTAACCCCGCCCAGACTTTATTATTATTATATAGCACCAACAAATTCTGCAGCGCTGCACAGTGGGTGGACTAACAAACATGTAATTGTAACCAGACAAGTTTGACTTGTAGGAACAGAGAGATTGAGGGCCCTGCTCTATGAGCTTACATGCTAGAGGGAGTGGGGTAAAGTGACACAAAAGGTATTAGGGAATTAGATTTGTGTGCTTTTTTTAAAATGTCCTTTGCAGGAGAGGAATCATTTGGGAGCCATTAACAGTTTAATTGATACACTTTTGTGAATTATAATTATTTTTTGAAGGAGTGGAGACTGGGTGAGCGTCTGACGGAAAAGGGAAGGGAGTTCCACAGAAATAGTGCAGCCCTCGAGAAGGCGAGCATCAGAGGTGGGAGTACGGACAGAAGATAGACGTAAGTCTTCAGCAGATCGTAAGGTCCTAGACAGGACATACTTGTGAATAAGGGAGGATAGATAGGTGGGAGCAGCATTATGTAGAGATTTTAAAGCAAGAACCAGAATATTAAATTGATCCCTATATCGTACAGAAAGTCAATGTAGGGACTTACAGAAGGGTGAGGCGTGGGTGGTGCGGACAGACAGGAATATAAGCCTCGCCGCTGCATTCATTATAGACTTTCTGTGGCTTCTCAATGAGAAGTATTTGTAGGCAGGAGCTCTGGGCAATCACCTTCCTCTTCAGTTCTGCTCCACTGAGCTCAACAAACCAGGCAGTAACAGCCGAGGTGGTGTAACAAGTTTAATGTGTAAAAGTTCCAATTTATAGCGAACTCCGCACCTTTAGTAAAACAAAAAGGACAAAAAAAGGACATGCACTTCACACATAAAGCATCCCAGCATTCTATAAGGGTCTAGACTGTCCCTTTAATTCCTCCAATTTATCAGTGATACAGAAGGAGAAATACTCGGGAGAAACATGCACTGTATCTGTCTCCGCCGATCATTTCCCGGCATATCACTTTCAAAAGAGTGATTTGACTAAGCAGCAGCAGTTGCATGAGAGTATTACTCCCACTAATCTCAGACAGGCTAGGGCATGTATGTCTGGATCTGCACTGCAAAGCATCAGTCTCAACTTTATTTCTATTTTTCATTGCAAGGTGTAACTTGTCCCATTGTCCATTACGGAAACTGAATACACGATTTGCCATTAAAATAACGATATAATATATCTCATATTAAAATGTGTTTGTTGTGCAACGTATAGGTGTTATAAAATTATTATTATCTCTCATTCTCAGAACAAACTACAGATTCTCAGATGATAAAGGGTTTTGAACGGTAAGGAGTTAATATATCCTTAGTTTATATTACTACCGTTTTTTCCCCCATTTTTGCACAGAATTACAGTATCACATGTAACTGGGAACAAAGGCTACAGGGAACACAGTTTAATGGATTGTGATTACTGTTCTGGAACAGACTGAACCTCTTTATAGTCTATGAGAAGCTGATGTGAACTGAATTCAAACAAAAGAAAGATAATGGATTTTACTGCAAGCCACTCTGATGAAAAGGATGCTATCTCCTAATTTACAACCACAGAGGATATCTGTGATATGAGAGAAGAAAATAAGTCATGCGCATATAAAAAAAAAATAAATCACAGATTTAAGATTTAAACTAATAGAGTGTTTCCATCCCTCTAAAACATCTTCATATAGAAATGGTGATTAACCTTACTTGTAGGAGTCATGGGGAGAACACGTTTTGTGTCGTAGTTGACCGTTCTGCCCCGATTCTTGCAATGCAAGAGTTAAACTGCTAATCAGAAATATTATTACTGAGATTCCTATCTTGGCAACTTTCCAGCAGTGGCTGTGGTATAGCAGAAGTATATCTTCTTAATGTCTGTGTTGAATCCCTGCCAATTCTTTTATAGCATATTACACAGATTGCTTCGGTGAAAGCACCCCCTCTCTTCCCTAGCCTACCCTCACACACACAATCTTGTATTTTCAATTTCAGGAGCTATTCCCTGTACCATGCATTATGGCGGCCATTGAGTTCTGTCCGCATTGATACATCTATCTACAGCGCGGATAGATTTTCAATTTTTTGTAACCTCTTGCCAGAAACAATGCGCATCTCACAACACTCTGTGTACAGAATAGCAATCTGGATTTAGACTGCTCATTGTACAAATCAATTCTTCCTATTGTTTCTTTCCTGTGTATGTTTATTCCCGTTACTTGACAGTGTCCGTTCAACAGGCCCACCACTTGAGCTGAAAGGCTGGTCAATGTATAAAGTTGGGAAATAAATAGTAGATACAAATATCATGTATTTTCAGTTCATTAGATTTTGCAAAACTGGCATGCTTTTTCCAATTGGCTTTTTCCATTAAAGGAAAACCATCCATTCACAGGAATGGTGACAAGAATGGTGACATTATGTTCACATATTCCCTATATTTATCAATTAAAATATAAGGTTTACTCACATCACTATGCATAGGCGTGCACAGCCTATTGCATTAGGGTGTGCACCCTAAAGCACAAACACACGCCACGCGCGTGTGTGTGTATGTATCTATCTATATATACACACACACACACACACTGCTGTGTGTGCTGTTAGTGTGCTGTGTGCTGTTAGTGTGATGTGTGTGTGAGGGTGCGTGTTTGTGACTGTGCTGTTTGTGTGTGAGGGTGTTTGTGTGTGTATGTTTGTCCTGTGAGGGTGCTGTTTGTGAGGGTGTGTTAGTGTGCTGTGTGTGAGGGTGTTGTGTTTTTTTTAAAGGTGCTGTGTGTGTTTGTGAGGGTGCGGTTAGTGTACTGTGTGTGTGTGAGCTGTATGTGTGTAGGTGCTGTATGTGTGTGTGCTGTATGTTTGGAGGGATTTGGCAGATTAGTAAATCCTTGCTGCCATGTGCCATCCCTGGTGGTCCAGTGGAGAGTGAACTCTAGCCTGCGGGGCTAGAGTTAACTCTCGCGAGATCTGAGCGTTGCCGCAGCAACGCTCAGATATGGCGAGAGGAACCTGGCGGAGCTTCTGTCTAGAGCAGCCTGGGTCCTCTACTGCCTCCCTCCATGCTGCTGTGGGCCGGTGAGGTAGATCTTTGGTCTCCCCGCCGGCCCATGAAGGCTTAGAGCAGAGCCGGCACTCAGATAGCGCCGGCTCTGCGTGTGTGTGTGTGTGTGTGTGTGTGTGTGTATATATATATATACACACATATACACACACTCACAGACACACACATACATACATACATACTCACAGACACACACACACACACACACACACTGACACACACACACTGACACACACACATACTCACATACACTGACACACACACATACTCACAGACACACACTCACACACACACTGGAGTGCTGGTGGACTTGTCCCTGGGGTCCAGTGGGGGCAGGCGCCTTTCTCCAGCTGAGCCGCGGCGAGGGAGCTCTCTGCTGTCTGCTCCCTCTCGCCGCACGGGCTGTCTGCTGGAGCTGGGAGCCGGAATATGACGTCATATTCCGGCTCCCGGCATCAGCGCGCGGCGAGAGGAAGCAGAGAGCCAACAGCAGAGAGCTCCCTTGCCGCGCGCTGAACGGGTGGGGAATCCATCACCTCTTGCCCCCCCCCGCTATGACAGGGGCAAGAGGTGAAACAGGGGGCACTGAGTGCCTGCAGGAAAAGCGTTCCTGCTCAAAAAAAGTGCAGGAACGCTGTTCCTGCAGGACTCAAACCATAGGCGTGCCACGGGGATTAGGGTGTGCCCAGGCACACCCCGTGCGCACGCCTATGTCACTATGACCACTTCAGTGGGATCTGGTGTGCAGTGTTTCAGTGCATAAATGGAAATAATACTCTCTTCCCTCGGATGTGTAATTCCAACTCTGGCAGAATCTTGGACATCATCAGCCAACACGTAATTGGAATTCTGGGAATTACTAACGTCAATTCTTGGTATATAGCTATACAAAGAAGAGCAATTATTGGCTGACAGCGGTTCAATGAATGGCCGACAGGATCAGCATTAGACTCTGCAGAAGCTGGATGCACCTCACAACCAGCCTTAAAGGAGACCAGGACCCGCAGCCTAAATGACCTAAAAGCTTTATTCCACAGAAATATTATTTTCAGAAAAAGACACCAAATTAAGAGTGACAGGAAACAGAACACGTTTCCATTGTGCTGGGAGAAAAAAGACCTACAAAAAAACAACTAGCCAATTCAATAAACTGTACTTTAAAAAATGCCTAAAGATTGGGAAAAACTGTCTGTGACACTTTGATGAATCTCTCCCAATGTTTCCATTGCTCCTTCTCAAATGCAATGTGTGCCCTTGCTGTGCCTACACTGAACTGGATTGTGAGTTGTTTGTCTTTCTAGATCTTTCTTGTAGATTTAAAACAAAACTGAGCATTATATGCAAAAAAAAAAGTTAACACACATTTTGGGTTATTTTCAATATTACGTTCAATGATGCAATTTCGAGACAAGTAATGGCTCCCCTTTAAGCTTGAGTTAATAAGGGCATAAAAGTAACAATGAGGACCATCATCATGACAACAATGAAGCAAATAGAAAATGTAAAGTTGGATGAATATTATAGGGACACTATAGTCACCAAAACAGAGAATAGACCGAGTCACTCAGACGGCCACTAGAGGTGCTTCCTAATCCCCTCTCTGCGTGGAGGCACTGAACGCTCTCCAATGAGATGCACTGATTCAATTCATATTTAGAATTGGATTTCCGATTGGCGCTGCACAGCGTCCTATGGGAAAGCATTGGATTAGCTGAGATCATCAAGATGCAGTGGGAATGGCAAGGCAATGGAGAAAAGGTACCGGTACGTAAAAAATCTTTTATCTCCACAGAGAGGGCGGCCAGGGACCTAAACATTTATTCCAGAACTATAGTGTTACAAATACGTGCTTGTATTCCGGACACTGTAGGTTTCCTTTGACGGAAGACAAAAGCCAGGGATTAACTTCATGATTTAATAATAGATTGACTTTCTTTCTCTCTTTTGGGACTGCACTGGGTTCTAGCATCTGGTGTAGTGTCTGGTGTCGTGGAAATTCACATTCCACTTTTTTTTGAAGATCAGGCAATGTAGCAATAACAGGTGCAGATGATAATCACAGTGTAGTTCAGTGTAAGTTAAAAAAAAACTGTTTTAGTTTAAGCAGGGGATGTTCCAGGTTCCAGAAACTCCTCCCCTCCTTCCCCTATTGGTATACAATCCTTGCTCCTCCTCTTCATTAACCTTCTTCCAATGTTTGATCTCGAAGATCTTCCATCACGCTTCCTTTCCTCTTAACGTTGCCTTTCAATGTGCGTTCCAGTAAAGTGTGCTTGCTTTTGCGTCACTATTAAAATGATAAATATCGCTACTGTGAATGTCCAGAGCTCAGGGGCGGGCTGGGCCGGGGGGCAGGGAGGAAATTGCCCCCCAGGCCGCCCTAAATTCCTGTAAGACCGGCCGCGGCGGGCCGGCCCTTTAAATACTGCAGCCGCCTGAGCGCTCTGTTAAGAGCCTCAGGCGGCTGCAGCTTCTCCCCTCCCCTGCCCTCCCCTGTAGCGTGGCCGAGCTGCACTCCGGTCCACGGTGGCCGGCCGGCCGGAGTGATAGGAAGGGGCACACTGAGTGT